CCTTGCCACCATGAAATGAGTACTTTGTCTCACCACATCCCTTTGTCACGCCATGGACTGAAACTGTGAACCAAATTAAACCTCTCCTCCTTTTATTCTTCCTCTTCCTCCTCCTCCTCTCAGTACTGGGAGTTGAGCCCAGGGCCTTCCCATTGAGCTACATCCCCAGCCCTTTATTTTGAGACAGGGTCTTACTAAGTTACACTAGCCTCAGCCTCCCAGAATGCTGAAATTACAGGCATGAGCCATCATGATTGGCTAAACTGTGCCTCTTTAAATGGCAAGTCTCAGGTGTTTTGTACCAGCAACGGGGGAAAGCTGAGAGTGAATTAGGTGCAAACTCCTGTGATAATGTCAATGTATTTATATTATTTACAGCTGTGAAAAGCCAAACTTTCTGACTTCTACGTAAGTCAAATAATGTAATAAACTCAATGGAAAAGTAACATTGAAAAGACCTACTGATTACCTCATAAAGTTTTTAAGTTGTTGATAAAGAGTCAATGTAAACACAGCTAATTTTAAAAGTTCATTGTAAAGCCAAGTTCTTTGTGTTAGGCTGCTGTGTTTTGAATTCTCTTTCTTTACTGCTCAAATGCACTTGCTCTCTCATGGTAGCCCATTTACTTCCATGGATTAAATGGAAATCTAATACTGAATAAGAGAATGAATCATGGTGATTGGAAAGTACACCCAGTGAGAAATAAGAGGGTGATATGAGAAAGGATAGGTACTCTAAGAGAGATGTTTTCTTTAAAAATAGAAAGGCAGGGCTGGGGATTTAGCTCAGTGGTTTCTGCCGCCTGCTGCGCAAGTGCAAGGACCCGAGTTCAATCCCCGGTACCAAAAAGAAAAAGAAAAAAAAAATAAGTCCCTGGAACTTTTCTTTCATATATCCACTTATCCATAAGACATTTAAAGAGGATATACCATGTTCCAGATAGCGCACAGGATGCAGGGAGTATGATGAGTGAAACACACGGAGATGACAGAAACCAGCAGGAGAGTGACCGCCAATCAAGCACCCACAGCAAAGCATGGTGAACGCCACATGGGAGGAGTCCAAGGCACATAATCTGGTCTAGAGGATTAAAACCTAATCTGAGTCAATAGAAGTGATGCTAAAGTGAGATGTGAAGAATAAAGAGGCAAGAAAGAAGACTTCAACAGAAACATGAGGAACTAGAGGCAAAGGAAAAAGCATATATCCAAGGAATTAAAAGAGGATCCTTAAGACTGGGCCACCAGGGGGCAGGATGGGCAGGAAGAATAAGGAGGAACCATTTAATAAAGGCCTTTGGGAACTGAGAAACAGTGGGGTTAAAAGCAATAAAAAGCCTCGGAGAAGTTGTGGAGAGGAGGAAGGACACAGGAAAGAATGATTTTTATTGTTGCCTTATATTAAATAAGGAGTTAATTAGAGTAAAACCTGTATTTATTTTGGGTAAAAACAATGGATGAAGCATCATAGGTAACTTGTGTGTAAAACATGTTATTTTTTTATACTGGGAATCAAACTCAGGGCCTTGAGCTTCCCAGGCAGGTGCTGTGCTGCTGAGCTACATGCCCGGAAAACACAAGTTATTTTTGTAAAGCAATTTCTTGACTCTTGATTCACATCACCAAATAGATAAGGTTTAATGATAGACCAATAGGTAATGCTATCTTCCTTTAATGTGAAACCAGTCAGCTCTAAATTATTCATCCTAGCTGAAGAACTAAATGATCAATAACCCAGGTCATTCTGATTTTATCTTAAAATATGCTTTTTTAAATTTTGAAAACTAGAAATTTACTTAAAGCTGTACCATAGGAAAGGGGCAATCCATAATATCAAGTCTTATAACTCATACTGAATTGAGAACTAAAAGTATGTTTTAAGCCAATATTAAGACTCAGTAGGGCTGGGGATTTAGGTCAGTGGTTTTGCCACCTGCTACCCAAGTGCAAGGACCCGAGTTTGATCCCTGGTACCAAAAAAAAAAAAAAAGACTCAGTAGTTTATATCCTTTTGTTTATACTTTTCCACACTGTTGATTTTCTTTTTAAAACAAGCATGAGTAGCTTTATTATTTTGCTAATAATAAAATATTTCTATTTGGGAAACAAAAGATAGAAGTATCATCTTTCATTTCCCTGGAGTAGGATCAGGTTAAATAATTGAGTTTAGAAAGGTTCTCCGAGATTAAAAAAAAAAGAAAAAGAACACTAAAAAAAAATACTACTAGAAGGAATGAAATGAAGAGCTGGCCCGGCATGGTGGCACACCTCTAATTCCAGCTTCTCTGGTGGTTGAAACAGGAGGGTTGCAAATCTGAGGCCAGCCTGGACATGATAGCTAGTCCCTGTCTCAATCAATCAATCAATCAGTCAGGCTGAGGATATAGCTCAGCATTCCCTGGGTTCAGTCCCCAGTATTGCAAAACAAAACAAAACAAACAATATTTTTTGACAGATTTTTCTCTGTAAAATAAGAAATGAAGTGTTTTTACAACCAAAACTAGTTAAGTTAGCAAATACACTGACAGTAACCTCAACTGAATTTTTGTACTCGGGGTCTTTGCAGAGCTACAACTCCCATAAGGGAGTACAGCCCCTTAAGACATGGTCTCTCAAAATTGTCCAGCTGGGCCTCAAACTTTCAATCCTCCTTCCTCAGCCTTCCAGGTGCTGTGATACAGGCTGCACCACTGTGCTCGGCTGGAATTTTGTATTTCTTCATAGGTTTTGTTGTGTTTTTTTTTTAAAAAAAAAACAAAACAGGGTTTGAAGAGTTTTATCTTAAAATCTTTTTTTTTTTTGGTACCTGGGATCGAACTCAGGTCCTTACACTTTCGAGGCAGGCGGTGGAACCACTGAGCTAAATCCCTGGCCCCTTAAAAATCTTGACAGAGGAGAGCAAGACTGTATGAACAAGAGGACTTGGTGTGGCTGGGGATTTCTTCTGCTGTGGGTCTCTGTGCCTTTCACAGCGCTTCCAAGAGCGCATGGTCAGGACAGAGCAGCCTGACAGAAGTTCACACCTCTGGTCAGAACCACTTCGAGGAGTGCCCCTGGGAGAACTTGCTATTTTAAGTGGAAAACAAGTGGTGGATACTAGATATGCTGACCTTTTTTTCAGATCTGGATTTGCCGCACCTTTTTTTAGGGTTTTTTGTGGGGTTTTTTTGGTACTAGGGATTGAACTTGGGACCTTGCGCTTGCAAGGCAGGCACCGGAACCACTAAGCTAAAGCCCAGCCCATCCAGTATTAATTTTTAAATCAAGAACTATACATGATTTAGCTTGCTTCATAGTTTAAAATTTTGAGTTTTTGTTTTTGACTCCTAGGTCAGGGCCTTGATGGTAATTTGCTATAAAAGTGAAAAGCAAATTTGACTGTGGTTGTCCTATAATAACTATTTTAATTTTTCTTTTTTTTGGGGGGGGTACTGGGGATCGAACTCAGGACCTTGAGCTTGTGAGGCAGGTGGCGGCACCACTGAGTTAAATCCCTGGCCTGATAACTATTTTAATTTTAAAGGAGGGAAAAAAATATTTTGTTTTTCCCTTTACTTTGCAGAAATATTGGTTTTTCTCCATTTGTAATAACCAGGAAGAACCCAATTATGTATACTGATTGAAGTTCCGATTAGTCAGGTATTTAGGGACTTCATTTTTTTCTCTAGACCTGTAGACTAAAGATGTAAATTCTGCCTCAGTAATTGTCCTGCTGGCCAGAAATGTCTTTTTTAAGAGTGAATAAAAGAAAAAGAATGTCACAGCATGTAATACATAATCGAGGACATAGACCCAACTTATTCTAGAGCTTCAACTATAATATACCCTAGATCAGTGGTGGCGAATGTATGGCACGTGTGCTGTAGCAGGCTGTTTTAATATTGACAGCTCTAAAAGGTTCACCACACTACCCTAAATATTAGGTAAAAGATGGTTCTGATTTGTAATTTTATCAGTGAATTGAATTTATGAGTAGTGAAATGCTACTTAACACTTAAAACGTAATGACTTAGTTTCTAAGGATTTGTAGTAGTCAGGGAAAGTAGCTACTGAGTATTTTAATCCTGATTTGTTCATGTTTGAAATATCATAGGTACTAGATGGATACCATAAAAGAGATTGCACTTTTGGAAGTTGAGGCAAGAGGATCAAAAAAATGAGCTCATCCTTAGAAAGACGCTGTTTCAAAACGGGCAGGGATGCAGGGGCCGGGGATTAACCTCATTGGTGCCTCCGTCTGCCTCACAAATGCAAGGTCCTGAGTTCAATCCCCAGTGCCAAAAAAAACTCCCACCAAAAACCAAAAAGGGCAGGGCCAGGTCACTGGGGATGTAGCTCAGGGTGATGGACGTGGGTTCCATCTGCAGTTATCAAAAAAAAAAAAAAAGCATGCATGCAAATAGGCAGGTGGGCTGTTTGGCCTCCAGATGTTTTGGTGGAAGAGTGCTGTACTGTTTTAAAACCAACATTTAAAAACTAGAACATTCATATAGAAGTACATTTCTGGGTTTTTAGAAATTTATTCTGAGTAGTTCTACATCTGTTCACGGAACAAAATAGAAATAGCTGCCTAGGCCAATCCTTGTCATGATATTAGATTTCCTCTAGGGCTCAAGAGCAAAACTGATTTATTATTAGAATCTCCTATTTTGATTTTTCTCTCAATTTATGCACTGGAGACTATTGTTCACATCTCTTGACAGCTGTCTGGTAACCACAGAAATACAGATGCAACCTTAATGTAAGTTTATCCAAATAGACCATGCGCTTGTATGTCAGTTTCTTATTTTACTATGCAATGATGGATTAAATCCAGTCTCATCCTGTGTTGAGAGTTTCTATGAAGGCTTTTCTATTTTTGAAAAAAGGAGATGTAAAAATCTGAATTCATAGTGATTTTGAACTCTGGAATCAAATCTTTGCTGTTAAATTATTTTTAGATGAGACTGGGCACATTCAGGGTTATATTACTGTAGACTGTTAAATTATTTTAAAAAAGCACAGACTCTATAAAATATGTTCTGACATTATCAGCAAAGGCTGTAAAGTTCACCAAATACTGACTTAAAATATTATCTGAAAAAATAAAACGAAGGCCTATACCATTTTAATAATAACAATCTACCATGGTATGTGCTCTGTGAAGAATCTAAACATGATGCATTTGGCTACACAACACTTCAGCTTTTAATTCTTAAATAAAACCCCAAACATTCTGATTTTGTTGTTTAAAAAACTGTTTTCATTTTAATGATCTGAGTTAGTAACAAACAAATATACAAAATTGTCTTTCACATTTCCATACATTGTATTATGGACCGATTGAAAACTCTGGACTACAAATGCAGGTTTCTTTGTATCCTTAATTTCAATTACTGTCACTTATAAATAAAGGTGATTTGTAAATACATGCATTTGTGAACACAGATGCCAAAAGTTATGCATGCAAGTTAATGCACAACCAACCAATAGTGTACATGTTCATTTGTGCAGTTGTGTGTCAAGGGTAACCGACACAGATGCAGTTATTCTGGGATATTTCACTCTATTTGAAAAGCATTTTTGTGAAACAGATGGAAATACAGTTTAAAACAAAAATTGTATTCTACAAATACAATAAAATAGCAGCTTACACATCTGAAGCAACTTTTGGGGAAGATGCTCCAATAACCCTGCTGCTGTATAGGTTTTACAGGTATATCTTCAGAGCCATAGGCCAGAATATGGCTGCTTTAAAGAAAATAGATACAGTATGTATATTTAGAAGAAAATTACAGTTTAAAAATGTGAAGCTTTGAAAAATAGTACTAATGCATGAGTTCATCTATTTTTTTTTGAAATTTAAAGAAATTTAGATTATAAGTAATCTAAAATTTTCTAAACCATTTTAAAATATGATTTTTTCCCATGTTATCAATGTTTCCTATTTGATAATATAACAGAAAATGGGCAGTTTCTAGTTTAACTTACTGTGATAATTCATAAATCATCATATATTTATGATTTCATTAGAGGATCAAATAAGTGGAAATTGGGTTATCATGAAAATGACAAGGAGCCCCCATTCTCCAACCACTCATTTGAACTAATAATAAGCACCAACACAAAATTACTTTTTACATTAAATTATTTCCAGATCTCTATAGGTTAAGAAAACCCAATCTTTAAAATATTTTCCTGGGTTGTGGCAACATGTGCTTTACCTCTTTAACTCTATCTACAACCTAAAGTTACTTCTACATTATACATTTCAGCCCCCCTGGCAATAAATGGAAATGCTAACCAGCTAGGTATTTATTTAACTTCATACAAAGAGAAGATTCATGTATGGTTGTCATAATACAGCCCCACTTTTTTCTAAGGCCCGAGGTTGCTGGTTTTCCTGTGCTCTATGGAACACATGAGAGATGATGATACATCTAAACAACAGGGTATCTTGCAGGTGCATTGAAGGACTTGACCTCCCATATTATAAAAACATTTGTGTTACTAACATGAACACAACTGTAAACAGCTTGAGAGCAATTGTAGTTCAGAAGGAAACAGATTATTTCCTTTGGGAAATGAGATTGAAGATACAAGATGTTTTCCATCAGGATTATTCTTGAAGAAAATGTGGCTATAATTTCACAGATCTATATTAAGATGTTACCTACATGCAAGATGGCTTTCACAAATATTTAAATGATCAATGATTCAGGAAAGTAAGCTAGGGGGATAATGTAAAAATGTATGCTCGCAACATTACTTAGGAGATGTAGTTCCCTACTCTGTACTTTGGAAATGAAAGAAACCAATTCTGTCCAGAGTCAATATTATCAAATAATATATGGCTGCTTCCTACTCTTCTCTACTTGCGAGTATGATTCTCCTACTGCTGATATTCTCTGCATCTCTCATGAGTTAGGCAGAAATAAATCTAATAGGTTACTTTTGTTTTCAAAATAAGTTTTAAAAAACTTTTAGAAATGGAACATTTAACCCTTTAGTAAAACTTCCATTATTGAGTACCTTGTCTAATGGCAAGTACAGTATTAAGGATTATTGCTTTTAATAAGATGACCATTAGAAATAAATATGTGAGCTTAACTCAAATCCTCAGTTTTACCCAATGCTACGTTTTATTCTCAATCAAGTAACACGTTACCTTTAATTCTTTGCCAGCTTGGTGAAGTTTTAAGTATAAGAACTTGGCTGGTTAACTCAAAACGAAGACAATAGAAATATCCACGTAAATAAGCATATCTTATTTGGGCATTGAGCAGTAACACTGCTTTCTTGATAGGATTTAAGGCACTAAATGGTGGTAAAATAAACAAAAGTATGATGATTAACTTCTTTAGAATCTAAAAAACGGGATAGTTTAGAATGAATTAGTAAATCTTTTTCACAAACAAATAAGGCATCCTGTTGGCAAACACAAATAAAACATGAGGTCATGTCGAACCTAATACATTCACTGTCTTTGCTAAACTATTTGAACTGCACTATCAAACTTAAGAAAGCTACAATACTATGTATAAAGGTTGAAAAGGCACCAAAAGGAGAACTCTACCACTTCCAGTTCTACGAGTTAGGGAAGCTGTGTGTAACACTGCATATCGTCTGATTATTAACTTTATTCTTCAGAAATGTATCATGTACTTAGAGTTTTGCTTCAACGAATACATTAATGAAGTGCTAGTTCAGTAAATTTATGAATTAAGAAATTGCTGCAGTGTCTAACACAGGCCCATTTATAAAGCTAAACTAATTCTAGCACTGAATGTACATTCTGGATTAACACTGGAGCAAATTTGTATGAACGAAAAGATAATGGTTACCTCAAGATAGAATTCACATTAGAAGTCTGACATATAACTAAATAGGTTTTACTGAAAACAATAAAGTGTAGTACAGATACAGAGAACATAATTATAACCACAACATTCTCCTTGTGAAAAATACAACTATTAGTAAAATAAAATGTACAATTGAAAAATTTCCAAAGAAAAAACAGAATAAATGAAAATACTTTTCTTTGAGATAGGGAAAATAGTATGTCACCATTTCTTTTATCACAATATAATTTGACACAAAAAGCACAGAATTGCACCAATTCCACATCCAGTTTCCTGAACATGTCCAAAGGAGTCCATAAAGCAGAATGCAGTTTCTGAATTTTATATTTAAAGTTGATGATATTCTCATACAAGATGTCACAGCACACCAGATCTGTTTACATAATGTACAATAGTTTCTGTTTTGTGGCTAGACTGGAATACAAACGTATGCTTTCTGCCACCTCTCTTTCATTCTGGTATTTAGCCAGGGTCTGACAATCAAGTTATTTAGGTGTTATTTCTCTAGCAATAAAGAAAAATTATATTTAGTGCATCCGTCATCATTTGCCAAAAAACATTTCTGAAAATAAAACTCAGTTACCCAATGGTTTACAAAATAGAAAAATCATTCATTAGGATAAAAATGTCATGGGATGAAGGTCCATTTCTAAGGACTGACTTCCTTGGCAGCACCTCTATCCTTATGCAAAGGTCCTGGTAAAAGTTCCACAATGGAAAAGCCTATCTGCAGGAGACCACTGCTTGACACTGGATTATCTGTGACCACCCCTTGCAATCTCATTAGTGCTATAAAAAGATGGGATTTGTGGGAAAATGTTAGGAACATTTCTGCTGTACATGATTTAGAAGTTCTCCAAATTTTTCGAATAGGTCTTCCACCCATTTTACATTTTTCATACAAAGTTGAACAATTTCCTCTTGTCCTAAGTCTTCATTTTTTTTCTGCACAGAAGAAATCTAAAATAAAAAAATTGTCACATTAGCTTACATTTATCACTCTATACTTAAGCCCTTCCCAATCCTTTCTACATCTTGAATGGATTTATCAATTCACCTATACATACTGATTTTTTTTAACCCCACTCACGCAGAATGATTATTTCAGATAAATTTGGATGAGGTCTAATGCTACTATCATTGTCTCCATAGTGGCAGACATGAAGACTGGAAAAAGTATTTCAAACTTTCTCAATTCCTTCCAATTGTGTTAAAAGCCAAATGACAAATATTAGGGTTAATTCTGTTTTCAGAACACTGTAAAAATAGTCAACATATTTTGCACCACCCTCTCTGCTTGTTCCTTTGATAGTGATTAGATTTTAAGACACCTTTTCAAATCAGACTACTATGCAACACATCACATTTAGCCTTGAACTATCTTAACCTTTTATAATTAAAAAACTGACAAAGCTGGTTAAATATGCTAATACTGTCATTTATTTTGAGGAAATTAATCCTTATATCCCACCTACAAGGTAGTACTGTTGTCATATGTAATTACTGACAAACTTGAAATTTATGATACCTAAAATTATAATTAAATTTTAACTTCTGTTTCTTCATCCCAAGGCACAAAACCCCAATTCTCTGTAAGTAAGCAGGATGAGGCTATTCAGTGATAAGGAAGACAGCAAGGTATCACAGCAGTAACTGAACTGAATTAAAGCAGGATCATTCTATGTTATAAGAGAATAAAATGCCATAAAGCACCATGTACTATGGCAATGTAAAGCAAACACTGGCAGTTTAAAAACATTATCATTTATAACTCAAGAGACAGTAAGGCACTGAAGAATCTGAGCACAAAATACAGCACAGAAACACAAAACAATAAATTTAGTCATTAACTTACAGTAGAACATAGGACAAAATAAAACCAACCAACCGAAAAACCCCCATATATATAATATACACACACATATATGTATACACACATATTTTACAATTCCGTTAAAAACATTCACCAATCATACTTTCCTTAACGTTCACAAAACATACATTTCTTTTTTAAATAAATGAGAAAATTACCTCATCTTTACATATCAGGTAAACATGATATTTATAATGATGGAGTGAATGGTACAAAGAATACAGCTGTATTTTCTCTGGATCAACAGCAAACTCCTATAAAAGGAAAAAAGTTCATGGAACTTAGAATACTTTCGGGAAAATACTAAATCAAAAGTCTCATGGCAGGGCCGGGGATTTAGCTTAGTGGCGGTGCACCTGCCTCCCAAGTGCAAGGTCTTGAGTTCGATCCCTGGTAAGAAAACAAAAACAAAAAAGTCTCATGGCAAACAACCAAAACCCCTCCAAAAAAGTCTCATGGCAATCCTGAAAATGACTGGCATAGCTAGGTATCAGGTTGTTTTAACATGCAAAGAGACTTATTCATAATGAGTTCAGATTGTATTTTAAAATCTTCATTATTTTTCCTAAATGTAAATATGCACTATTAGAAAAAAATTTAACATTATAGAAAATTTTAAATGAAAAAATAATATGACTTATAAAGGCTATCTATACTCTTTTGCTTGAGAAATAAATAAGGCTAGCTGGGTATGGTTGTACATGCCTGTAATCCCAGCAGTCTGGGAAGTTGAGACAGGAAGATCTTGAGTTTGAGCCCAGTCTGGGCAACTTTGTGAGACCCTATCTCAAAATAAAAAACTTAACAAAGGACTGGGGATGTAGCTCATTGTGAAGGCCCTAGATTCAATCTCCAATACTACTACCAAAAAAAAAAAAAGCCAAACAGCAAGTTACATATTCTTTCCTGCTTCTCCCTCAGGTATTTCATATATATGGCTATTTCCACAACTTTATTTCCCCAACTTATTTCTTATCTACATACTTTTACATATATACACCAGTTCCTTCTCAACCCCCCAGATATAAATTATGCGAGAACAGGGATTTTTTTCAGGGTTGTATCCCGTACTACTTAGACCTGGGCAGAGGATTTAGCTCAGTGGTTCCCCTGCCTGTTTCACAAGCGCACAGACCTGAGTTCAATCCCCAGCACCAAAAAAAACCAAAACAAAACCTTAGACCTGCATTTGGCACAAAGCACCCTCTCCAAATTTTATTTTTTGAAATAAATGAATCTGTCTCTTTCTTTTTTGTGGTGTTGAGGATCAATGTAGAGCCTCAGACACACTAGGTAAGAACTCTACTGAGCTACACCTCCAGTCCCATCTCTTCGTTTTAAAAAGTAAACAGTAGGCTAGGGATGTAGTTCATTGGTAGAGCACTTGCTTAGCACACATGAAGTACTGAGTCTGATCATTAGCTTATCCCCCCAAAATTAAGTAGCATTACATTGTCTTTGTGACTCTTTAACCTCACATTGGTGGCATATTACTGCATTGCTATTATACACAATTATGCAGTGGCTGAAAGTATACATTTTTAAAGCATTTGTGATGTGTTTTTACAGAATACATTTTGATGTGGAATTGTTATGTTACCAAACTGTTTTCTGAAAAGGTTGTAACAATATATACTATGTTTGAAAATGATTGAAGATAGTCCAATGGTAATGACTCTATGGAGGGTGTGCCACTAAACAGGTAATGCTTATTAAGTAGCACAAGTCAACCATTTCACAATGTATACATAATTCAAAACATGTAATACATGATATATATATGTCAATTAAAAATAAATTTAAAACCATATATAAGTATATAAACACAAAGACGGGATGATTCTTTATTAGGCTACTTAAAAAAAATCTGTGAGCACTTATCATATTCTAGATATTGTGTTAAGCACTGGAGGAAAACAACAACACTGAGTCCCTGCCCTCAGGTCAGAGCTGCTTGTTCCTACCCCAACAGATTTCAAACTTAACAACAAACAGTAAAGTATCTGCTCATTTTTATGTTTTAGTATTAACAACTAGAAAAGATACCCTTTCATTAATCACTATATACTTACTTGTGCAGATTTAGTAGTTGTTTTAGAAGTCCTCAGAGTTTTCTTATTATAAGCTTTGCCATTCATTTTGATTTTAGAAATAGCAGATCCTCCACTTTTTGCTTTAGAGTCTCGAGTAATTATTGTTAGTTCAGGAAAACTTTCCAAAGCATTCTTTAAAACAATGAAGTATAATAACTGATCAGAAGAAAACTAAATTGCTTTCATCTATTCAAAATTTACATATACACACATGCATACACTATATGTGGGTGGTTACTGATGGGACATAGTAAATTTATACATATACACATACATACCCATACATGAGTAGAGGTGAGACCTGGTCACAAATTCTTTGCACCTCTCATCAGCTGTGGAATCTATTTATCTGTCCTTGAATCTGTGTTGCTTGCTTTTTTAAGCAACAGCACTAGACTGTAGGGACTCCTGAAGAAGGGTGACAATTCTTAATAGGCCTCCCTGGCTTCAAGGCGGGGCAGAGAGGGAGATATGTATGTTTCTTCAACTTTCTACTATTGAAACCATTGTTAATACCCAGCCAAGTCCTACTATAAAAAAGTCATTTTATCTTGAAGATGAGGACAGAGGCCAAGAAAAAACATTCTAAGGCTTCAATTTCATCACTTCTCTTGCTTCTTTTGACCATCCAAATAGCACTTGTGTGATAAGATCCTAAAACAGAGCTTGATGACATTTCTGACCAGAAAGACACAGTAGCTACCACTGGCAGTACTGTAATTATGTGGCAGAACCAATTTAACAAAGCTGTTGGGATATTTATGCCCTTACTTACTTGTTAAGTCATTCTGACATGAAAAGCTACAAAAAAATAACTGAATGATATTTGTAGCTTAATCTAAGTAGTTTGATTACAATTTGATAAAATTTGATTGAGTTACCAGCATCATTTATTATTTTGACACTAAAATGGTTAAAGTATGCCCATATATTTATGATTCAGAATACAGTCCTCATTTGATAAGCTCAAATGCCAGTTTTTACAAACTCAGTTTCCAAGTAATAATATTGTAGCCCTCTAAACAGTGCATTTGGGGGTGGTGGTACCAGGAATTGAACTCGGGACCTTGTGCTTGCAAGAAAAGTGCACTTTTAAAGCAGCTAACCTGAATTTTTCTTAGGTATAAGTGAAATAGGGAACTAGGTATCATTTTTCATACAGTAAAACTTTTGGAATTTCTTTCCAGAGTGGGCTATCATCAATTTCTAGCTTTGTTCTTTTCTCAAATTATTTCTTTTATCATATACTTTAGTGTTCTGCTTTTGCAATATACCATGCTTGAATAATTTTGGACCTAGAATTAATAATTACAACAAATAGAGTTTAAAGACTAAAAATGAATTCTAAGTTTGGAAACCAATGGCCCTAGGTCAGTGGAGATGAAAGGAGAAAATTTAAATCTTCATAGGGAACACAAGATGCCAAAGATGATATGAAGTATGGGTAGGGCTGGGAATTTAGCTCAGTGGTTTTGCTGCCTGTCTTGCAAGCGCAAGAACCTGAGTTCGATCCCTGGTACCAAATAACAAGCAAAAAAACCAGAAGTATGTGTATTTCTGAGGGAGACAGAGTATCAGTAACTGCAAAAGGCTTCAGGATTTACTCCTAAAATCACCATGATCATCTGAGGAAACAGTATTAATTATTTCTAAGAAACAGAATATCTTTCTTCATTATTTGTAATTTTTTTTACTTCAAATCATTTAAACTTTTAATACTGTATAATTTGGCTTTGACATGCAAATTGTTAGGTGAAATTCATTAAAAGTAATTACTCCACAAAATTTGAAATCTTACTTTTTCTGTGAAAACAGGAACATTAATTTTTCAGTTGTTCACCATAAACTACTGCACAAGCTTTAAACATCTACTGATGGGGTGGGGGCAGGGGGGCACAGAGGCAGGTTATGTCATGTACAGGTGCAAATTCCCTATGATGAATGTTATTATTATATATATCTAAAATGTACCAATAAGTGTTTTTGCTTCAAAAAACAGAGAAAAAATATCAAGTATTAAATTTTAACCAGTGGCTTTGGGTTTAATATAAATCATTAGATAACAGGATTGACATTTCTAAAATGATCAAACAAAACTGGTACACTTTCTGGTGTTGTGCTGGGGGTTGAACTCAGGGCTTGGCCACTGAGCTAAAGCCCATCAAAACTGGGAATTTTTAATATTTAGTGAATTTTTAGAAAATACATATCTAAAAAATTCCCTTGTCGGGCTGGGGATTTAGCTCAGTGGTGCTGCCGCCTGCCTTGCAAGCACAAGGTCCGGAGTTCGATCCCCAGTACCAAAAAAAAATCCCTTTTCTCTAAACAATACTGTACTTCCTAAAAGAATATTTCATTTAAAGGTAGACATTAAGTAGAAAACACTGGACTAGGAGCCAGGAGACTAAATTCTTTGGTACAGGATTTCTTACCAGCTCTGCAAGTGTACAGTAGTGAAGAATACAAGACTACTAGTGTCATTTATTATCATTTAACTTGAAACTCAATTCTAGAACCTCAATTTTCACCTAGTTAAAATGAAGTCAATAGTCACTTCCATGTGCAGTTTACAAAACAGAAATGTGAGAAAGCCTGCAAACAAATGCATAATATTGTCACCACCAATAAAAAGTTTCTCAAGGCAGACATAGAAATTATTTTAGATGTGATATTATACACTTTGAGTAAGAAAATTTGTAATTTTTTTAACTAAGTAGCTTCTATGATAAATTATGAGTTTAGATTAGGTTTTTGTCCTGTATTTCTGATAACACCAAAACCAAATTTTATTGTTAAAATACAGTAATTTCTATTATATAATTTCCATTATATAAAAATTAGCTTTTCCTTGGGTACTGGGTAAATGAAAGACACATAAAGGGAATTTTGATAACTACTATGAAAGGCTAATTTTAATTATTGAAAAAATACAAAAATTTTTACAATGATTCAAAAGAAAAACATGATTTAGGTTGAGGCAGGAAGATTGCCACAAGTTTGAGGCCAGCCTGGGCTACTGTGAGTTCAAGGCCAGCCCAAAATACCTACCAAGATCCCGTCTTTAAAAAAAAAAAAAAAAGAAAACAAAAGAGAGACATGAATATAGTAGTTGAAAGGAGGTACTTTAGGAAATCATTTAGACAAAATTTTATAGAATATCAGAAAAAAAAAATGCTTCAGAAATGAATTTGAATAGCAAATGATTAACATTAAAAAGGTAAGCTAAACAGACTCATAATGGATGAAAAACAAATTTTTATTTGTGAAAAATTTTGTGCAAGTGAGAATGACTAGACTTTCATAAATTTTTTTAATAATTTTTTTTTCTTATCACATTTAGAACTGTGATCACCACTGAGTTTTTTTTCCCCTCCACTGAGTTTTGCTGATAAATCATCTGAAGGAAATACCTTGAATGGCTGATCCAAATGAAGATTCAAAAGAAGTCTTTTTCGATTATCATTTAGCATTCCATCTATTTTTTTCATATGAGGTAAAAGTAGCTCATCTGAAATATAATTTATTTTAAAACAATAAATAACAAATACTGCTCAAAATTCCAGTTTTTCTCAAAACATTTTAATGTTGAAAGACATTAAGTTAATTGGCTAATGTAAAATTCTGCCTGCCAAAAAAAAACAGGCTAACTTGAAAATAGGCTTATAATAGAGAGTACAAAAAAGAGGCAGCTTAATATGATAATAGGATGGATCTGCAAATGTCCTGGGTTTTAACTAGAATCAATGAATTAGAATTTGTTTTTGTCTTATTTTAGTAGTATGTACTTGTGTGTGTGGTTTTTTTTTTTTGGTAACCGGGATCAGGACCTTGCACTTGCGAGGCAGGCGCCGGAACCACTGAGCTAAATCCCCGGCCCTTGATAGTATTTGTGATTGAACCCAGGCCCTCTTGGATGCAAGGCAAATGAGCCCTTGAAGTAGATTTTAACTGAACTAGAGCCAATGGAGGGCAGCAATGTGTCTAATTTCTCCAAATCTCATCATCTCAACAGTAACACTATCATGAAATATAAACTGCTCTAACTATAACATTTTATAAGACATCAAAGATGCCCAACAGATACTTTTTTGTTTGTTTTTTTTTTGCAGTGCTGGGAATTCAACCCAGAGCATCGAGCATGCTAGTGACATTCCCAGCTTGGGATAGAGCTAAGTGGCAGAGTACTTGTCTAGCCGGTGCACGGCCCTGGGTTCATTCCTCAGAACTTCAAAACAATGCAAAATTCAATGTCAAAAATACATGTCAGGGGGTGTAGCTCAGGGGTAGAGCATTTGACTGCAAAAATACATGTCTCTTATTTTAGAAAAGAAGAGAGTAAAAGTATGACAGACTCCTACTTGAAAGTCTGGGCTTTCTTTTTTGCTTCTCTAAACTTTTAACCTTGCAGAAAGAACTTTCAGAATGTAAGTTAACTGAATTAAATGCTATAGGTTATTAAACTATTTCTTCATTTATCAGCATAATAATATACGACTTTCTTGAAAATATACAAACAATTCTCAATCGATGTTATAAAATTCACAGCTAAATAAAGTTTTACACATTTTGAACAAATACGAGCATAGTAACCTGGGAATGAACACCTCCTTAAATGAAGAAAAAGTCCTTACTGAGGAACAGTTTCTTTGGTTGCTGTCACATACCTGATAGTTTAATTTTCTTTCTTTTTCTTTTTTTTGGTACCAGAGATCGAACTCGGGACCTTGCGCTTGCAAGGCAGGCGCCGTAACCACTGAGCTAAATCCCCGGCCCTAATTTTATCTTTCTAGTAGTGATTAGGTCTGTTCAAATGCTTCATTTACATTTCATAAACACAAGTTTGTTTTGTCTCTATGTGGTCCTAGGGATGAACCCCAGGGCCTGTGCATGACAGACATGTGCCCTGCCACTGATCACACCTCAGCCCCTCACAAAACCATGTTTAAACATTTGTGAATAATTTTTAAGAATAACCTTTTAAATTTCTTTCCCCCTTATACAAAATAAAGAAAAATCAGAAAACATTGATAACTAATTAAAAAATTCTTTCAGAATACAACCAGAAGTGACTAGTAGAAAGAGATGTGCATTTTATGATGCAAAGAATTTGGAAAGAAAATATTTGACAGTAAAAAAGGGGAAAGTATTAATTGGTATAATCCAATGCACACATAGCTTTTATTTTTTTCAACCTCACACTCATCACCCTACCACCTCCACCCCTGTGCTGGAGATCAAACCCACGGTCTTAACAGCCTTACACATGCTAGACAAGTATTCTACCACTGAGACACACCCACAGCCCCCTATACTGTTTTAATACTAATTAATTAGAAAATAATTTCTCAGCTGGTAGGGGTGGCACACGCCTGTAATTCTAGCACTCTGGGAGGCTGAGGCAGGAGATTGCCAGTTTAAGCCTAGCCTGGGCAACACAGAGAATCAGTAAGAGACCCTGTGTCAAATTTAAAAGCAGGCTGGAGGGGCCCAGGGGCACTGCACCTGCCTGGCAAGCACAAGGTTCTGAGTTTGATCCTTGGTACCAGAAAAACAAAAACAAACAACAACAATAACAACAACAAAATGGGCTGGGAATGTAGCTCCATGAAGGTCATGGGTTCAATCTCCAATACTGCCACCAAAAAAAAAAAAAAAAGAAGAAGAAAATATTTTCTCTGCAATTTTATCTTTAACTGAAGATACAAATATACTATTTTAATTTTTGTACCACTATTATCTGGTCCATCTTTCCAATTATGAGAGAACAGGATATATTAACATACGGATTTTCTATGTAATACATTTAGTAAAATACTAATGAGGATGATACAGACTGTAGAATTAAAAGAAACAAACGAATACTTACATAATTTCCCCATGAGCAGGGAGCAATAAAAATATCTTCATTTTAAAGTTGTTCTACTATTCTGACAATGCTTAAAAAGATATGGCCATTTTCTAGAATTAAGATATTATAACTAAAAAATTATAGGTATATATCACAGCAATTGTATGTAAAAACACAACAGACAGAATTTTTTTAAAAATCTAGAAAGTCCTACTTAGCACACCATACCATTGCTCTTCTCTAAGGCTTGCATTGTGTCAGGGTCCAGGGCAATACTAACAAGCAGTTCCATGTAACTCTTAAAAGTTTCCTTCATTGCTCTTGTGTTCAAAAACCGAGTGACAAAAGGAGCTGGAGGGTCAAATTCTGAGACAAAGAAAAGATGAAATATTTAAATTTCCTTCCTGAAAATTTAAAATACTTTTCTTTATAACAGGAGCCAACAAGCAGGTAAAAGATTGTAAATACAGTTTTTTCCAATTCAAGGCTTTCTCGTCATCTTTAAAAAAACACCTCAAGTGACAGACTGGTTTACATTTTATAATTGCTGGAGAGCTTTTAAAATAGAAAAAAAGAGAATACACTATCAGACTTTTACAGGGCTTCCCAGGATTCCAATCCTAACACTAACCTAACGTGTGGAAATAAGGTCAGGTAGGAACCAGTTCCTTGCCCAGCCCACTCCACATGTGTCACCCAACATATGGTGACAGGTCATGCTGCTCTAGTCTTGATGGTTTCTGTATGTTTACTAGTAAAGAAACCATAGCCATCCAATGTATGAGTTAAGATATAGATATCTTTTCTTTTTTACTTGTATACTTCAATTACTATAGAATTCTACACTACGGCACATTAATACAATTTTTTGGTTGTTGTTTTGGTTTTTTGAGGCAGGGTCTCCCTTTCTAGTTCAGGCTGGCTGTAAACTCACTATGTAGCCCAGGCTGCCCTCGAACTCACAGCAATCCTCCTGTCTCAGCCTCCCAAGTACTGGGATTACAGGGATGTGCAACCACGCCCGGCATAATATAATTTTTTAATGTAAAAGACCACAGAGGAAATTTCACTTACATTCAGTACAAAAACTGCAAGATTAAGTCTGCCTCACTTTTGACTTGTTTTGCATCCAAACATACAACTACAGTATTACCAGGCTCTCTACAAGCAGTTCTAAGAGTATGGTCCATGGATTCCTCTCAGTAGTCTCTGATATTAAGACTTTTCATATAATATTGAGATGTTATGTATCTTTTTCACTGTATTTGTAAAAGTAGCAATGGGTAAAACTGCTGGATTTTTACTTAGCATGAATAAGAGCAGTTACAGTAATCTATATGAGTCAGGGTCATTGCCTATACTTTGTCAGGTCATTGCCCATACATTAGCAGGGGAAAAAAAGCTAGTTTCACTTAACAATACTCCTTGATGAAACAGCAAAAATTATTATTTTCAAGGGGGGGCATGGTGGTGCACATCTGTAATCCCAGCACTCAAGAAGCTGAGGCAGAAGACTTTGAGGCCAGCCTAAACTGCTTAGTGAGTTCAAGGCCAGCCTGAATTACACAGCCGGATCCTGTCTCAAACAAAACAAAATTATTATTTTTGTTAAATCTCCACTCATCAACGTGTTTTTAATATTGTGTGATAATATGGGAGAAACACAAAAAACACTTCTGATATAAGAATTATGGTTACCACCAGGAAGAGGATACATACAATTGCCTGAGTTATGAAATAAACTTTTTCCCCTAAAATATCTTTTGTATTTGATGGACATTGTGCCTATTCTGACATGAATATTTGGCAGATATTTTATTTAAAAGCAATGACGTAAACCTGTTACTTCAAAGAATACAATCAACAACATTTGTTGCTAATGATAAAAGATGACATTCCAAATAAAAATTTGGATTCTGAAAAACTTGTATCCCCTATTATAAACTGGACAGCTTCTTAATACTTAAAAGACTTCTGGGCTGGAGATTTAGCTCAGTGGCACCGTGCCTGCCTCACAATTGCAAGGTCCTGAGTTCGATCCCCAGAATCACAAAAAACAAAAAAACCTTAAAGACTTCTGATGAGATCAGTGGTAGAATTAATGAACTATGTATTCTAAATATAAAGACGTAAAACCATACAATTTTTGAAGGAAATATAGGGATAAATCTTCATTACCTTGGATTTGGCAATGGAGTCTAATAATGACGTAAAAAGCACAAGAAACAAAAGAAAAATAGATAAATTGAAACTACAGAATGGAAAGAAATATTTTCAAATCATATCTGAGTAGCTTAAAATCTAGAATATATAAAGAAGTCCTACAACTAAACAACAAAAGGACCAACAACCTATCCTCCAAAGAAGATATACAAATAGCCCAATAAAGCACCTGGAAAAATGCTCAAAATTATTAGTCATTAGGAAATGCAAAGTAAAACTACAATGTGATACTACACTTATTAGGATGAAGATACATGTATACACACATATACACCAAGATATGTATGTGTGTATGTATGTATGTATGTATTTATCTACAGCTGTATATATGTACGTATATATGCTAGAATGTGGAAAAACCTTGCTAGGGATGTAAAATGGTGCAACCACTGTGGAAAACAATTTGGTGGTTCATCAAAAAGCTCAACATTTAATTTCTATATGGTTCAGCAAATTTCTCTAGCGTATACCCAGAGAACTGAAAAAAAGAACTCAAATATTTGTATACCAGTGTTCATTATAACAAATTATTTATAATACTCTTAAACCGGAAACAACCTAAGTGTCCATCAACAGATGAATGGACAGACAAAATCATATAAACATACAATAAAATATTATTTGGCCATAAAAAGCATGGAGTTCTGATACATGCTGCAATATGGATGAATCTTGGAAACGTTATGAGAAGGCAAAGAAGCCAGATACAAAGGGCCAAATAGTATGAGTCATGTGTATGGGCAAATTCATAGGATAAAAGAATAGACTGGATTATCAGCAGCAGTCAGAAGGGGAGAATGGAGAGCTACTGCTTAGCTGTTACAGAGTTTCTGTTTGGGAAGATAAACTTTTAGAAAAGGTAGTGGTGATAGTTACACAACAGTGTAAATGTAATTAATGTTACTGAATTGTATACTTACACTTAAAGATGGTTTTAAAATGGCAAACTTTATATGTCATATGTATTTGACCATAACTTTTTATTTTATTTAATTTTATTTATACTTTTTGGTACTGGGGATCGAACTTGGGACCTTGCGCTTATGAGACAGGCAGTGGAACCACTGAGCTCCCTGGCCCTGACCATAACTTTTTAAAGGTGATAGAAATGGACTAATTTTTGGAAGAGCTAACTAATATTTTCACGTGATCAACGAATGATGACAGATACACCCAAAGGGCAAGGAAAACAACAGATTTTTAATGCACTTGCATGGGATTTTCAAGAAACTATCACTTGTCAAGTTTTGAACGTCAAATAAAAATATTCATAATTATCAGAAAACGCAATTAAAATACTCATCACCTTCCCAACTATATACCTATGTGATGCTGAGTGTTCATTTATTTTAACCAAAATAACATATAACAAACCAAATGAAAAAGCAAATATAAGATGTTCTGAAACAGTTTGAAAACTGCTGGCATATAAATCTATTATTATCAATATTTGCCTTTTTTTTGTTTGTGTTTTTGACAGTGCTGGGAGTCAAACTCAAGGCCTTGCACATGCTAAGGAAGTGCTCTACTACTGAGCCACATCCCCAGCTTATCTTATTTGGAGACAGGGTTTCACTAAGTTGCCCGGGTTGGCCTTGAACTTGGGATCCTCCTGCCTCAGCTTCAGTAGGCAAAATTATAGGTGTGCCCTACAACGCAGGACAATTATTTCCCTTCCTAAAAATACTATAGGGCCCGGGATTTTAGCTCAGTGGTGCCTCGCAAGCACAGGGTCCCAACTTCAAACCCTGGTACCAAAAAAAAAAGTACTATAAATGCTTAACTATTTAGTGACACCTAGTGGTCACTCAATTTATCAGTAGAAGAAAATTTTATCTTTGTCACCTAAGGAAACAGAGTAATTAATTGCTCATTCAGAAACAAGGCAGGACTGCTACTGCAAAATTACATACAGCCAGGGCTGGGGATATAGCTCAGCAGCATAGTTACCTGGCTGGCAAGCCTGAGGCCCTGAGTTTGATTCCCAGTACCAAAAACAAAGAAATAAATTATATATAGCCAGCCATGGTGGCACACACCTGTAATCCCAGCACTCAGGAGGCTGAGGCAGGAAGATCTCTGAGAGTTCAAGGCCAGCCTGGGCTACACAGTGAGTCCAAGGCCATTCTTTTTTTTTTTTTCCCATTAAGTTTATTGGTACATTTTAGTCCGAGGCCATTCTGAAATGTACTGTTACAAAAAGCTATTTGTAAATGGTTATTTAGAAGTGCACACATGAGAATTTATAAGGCAAATCAGTGATTTGAGTATACTGAAAACATTATATGGCTTTTGTTTTGTTTTTTGGGGATGGGGTCTGGCTATGTAGTTCAAGCTGGTCTTGAACTCAGTATGTAGCCCAGGCTGGCCTTGAACTCCTGGCAATCCTCCTGCCTCGGCCTCCCAAACACTGCGATTACAGGTGTGCACCACCACGCCAAGCTACTCTACTAGTACATTTAAAGTAGACTTTAGCACTGAAACATTTTTATTATGGTTCTATTTCTAATCAAATAATCTCTAAGATTGTCTCTCAAACAATAATATTCTAATTGGGAAATTGTCTTGGACATCAACTTCAACTGTATCTCCAATAACCCCACTAATTTATCATTCAAGATACAATGAAGATTGGATACTGAATTTTTCAAATCTGTCGTCTCTCCTCATCCCTGAACTTAGGTTCAGATGCAATACATGCTAAAAACTATGTCTTATAATCAAAACAGAAATTTCACCACCATGTTCTCCCTTTTAAGTCCCACCAAAGACTCTTTTCTTATAGGATCCCAAGCATTTTCAGGTTTAGTGTAACACACATGGTGTTCCACCATTCCTTCATCTTTTCCTATCTTCAACATTATCTTTTAGTCTACAAGAAGAGTGGTCGGCAGTTTCTTAGTAAAAGGCCAGATGGTAAATATTTAGGTTTTGCTGGCCATGTAGTCTCAGTAGCAACTACTCAAATCTGCCACTGTAGTGGGGAAGGCCACCATATGGAAACAGGTAAATTTCTTTAAAGTACCTGTGGGTATACATTTCAATAAAAACTATCAATATTCCTTTAACAACCTGTTTAATGACTATTAGGACTTATGATTGAGGCATGCTGTTCATAGTCTTTTTTTTGGTTCAGTTCTGTACATCTTGTGTACAGAGCCTCAATGTCTTTTTGTTTTGGTACAGTACACCTTGTTTATGCAGTACTATAATTTTATGTTCTGTTATACCATACAATACTGCATGTAAAAGTTAGGCAAATAAAAGCAAAGTCATGTTGGAGTTCCCTTGGACCATTTCTCTATTCAGAATATTATAATGTACATACTATATACAATTCCTCATTTAGCAACCAATTCATTTAATGATCTAGTTGCAGGACCATAACTTGGTTGTTAAACAAGGAATGCCTGTATTTATAAAAACAGGCTGAAGGCCAGGTCTGGCAGGCAACAGTTTGCCCTTGACTACTAAACTGCTTGCATACATCAACAACAAGCTTTGATGGCTAATGGGATGTATGCTGTGGATTCTTGTATCCTATATTACCTTAGTTTCAGTAACTATTAAGGTATAAGTATCAACAGATATCACCTACATAAGTGCTGTTTAGGATCTACAATAGTTTCCAAGAGTGGAAAGGGGTCTAAGGTCAAAAATTTTGATAACTGCTAATTTATTTCATTTCAACCTTCCCATTTCAAAAAGAAGAAAATTAAGACACAGAGAGGGCACCTACCTTGGTCATGAGCACAGGGTAGGCTAGCAGCACACACAGTAGTGTGCATCTTATATATATCAGATATATACAGTACTATATACATTACTATATTGTATTAATTATAGTTTGAACTACTGTTTCCTAGGGTTCCTTATTCTTCTGGCATAAACTAAGACTCATCAGTTTAGAACTAGCAGATTCTAAGTAGTCATTTGATCTAACCCCCATCCTATCTACCAAAGCAAGACAACTGGCATTAATATGTCTAGAACAAAGCTAAGCTGTCTTTTCTATTTTACTGCATGTATGGGTGAACAGTGCTTTAGTGTGTTACTGTCATGAAAATACAAGCAGAACTTACTAGGTAGATAAATCTCCTGAAAAATAAATAAAAGTTGCATAGTCGGCACCAGTCACTCCTCCCCATTCACGCAGACTGATTCATTTCATGGAGAACTCACCTTCATCCTCCGTACTACTAGAATGGATCTCAGGAGATGAGTCAGATTGGGACGATGAAAATTCTTCTTTCCATTTCTTCCGTTTCTTTGGTGGTGGCTCAGCCTTTATTTTTAGCTGTTTAACTTTGGATTTCATGGCAGGGGCTTTTGTAGTTGTAGTTTTTGATGATGGAGGATCTGAAGTTTTACTGCTAGTACTTAGCTTGGCCTGAACAGTTCTGCAATGTTCCAAACAAGTTTCATTAACACATTTAAATATTATAAAACTAAATTAGAAAAAAAGAATCACAAGAAAAGATTAAATACCCTCATCATACCTCCAAAATAAAATCTAAGATATACATATATATTTTCTTTAAATACATCCTTTAACTACTGGCATTCAATATTATTATTAAGGGACTATTCTCTCTGCCCTTACTTTCTCTCTTTATTCCTCCCCTCTCTTTATGGACTCATTTTCCAGAATAAAGTTGTACACAAGATGATCAATGGGTTTAGGGAAATAATGCTCCATAAATTCTTTTCTTTCTTTTTTTTTTTTGGTACTGTGGAATCGAACTTGGGACCTTGCGCTTTCGAGGCAGGCAGCAGCACCACTGAGCTAAATCCCTGGCCCCATCAATGAATTCTTTTTTTTTTTTGGTACCGGGGATTGAACTCGGGACCTTGCGCTTGTGAGGCTGGTGGCGAAACCACTGAGCTAAATCCCCAGCCCAATAAATTCTTGATAGCCAACTCTAGCTCTGACTTTCAGAAATTCACAGGCTGTGTTGGTGCCATGTTTTAATGAAGAAACCCCAAAGTCTGTACAAGAGCCTCCAAAGATTTGCCCTAAGTGGGTCTAGAGATTAGAATTCCATTAAAATTCCATTATAAAAATTAGGTGAACATGAATCCACCCTCACACATTCACTCCAGTGAGTTGTTTTCTGTACCTTGTACTTTGTCTCATGCTTTAAAAATTTATGTATCTAGTGGAATTAAAGATTTAGCTAAAAAAAAAAAATTAGGCGAGCTGCTTCAAATAGGTGGGAATCTTAATTAAACCAGAGCTGCTGAGCACTATGAGAATATTTGGGTCGCACCCATTTTTCCACACATTCAGGTTCAGGTTAGTTATTATCAAGCTTTGTGCTACAGACCACAGAATTTAATCTATAATGATGATTCTTCTGTAGACTTTGCTAATAATGCACAGGTCTTATAACTTTATTTCAAAAATTATCAGATAAACTTGACAGTCATTACTTTTATTATATGAATGAAAAAGCTTTTTTAAAAAAGGCTTTTAGAAGTCTATGTCACAAAGAGTTAGATTCAAACCTTTTCACTCTAAATTCAATTTTATTTTTTTTTACTATACTTAGGGTGACACCAGAAGAACTCAGGGAAAGGAAAGAGTACCCACCACAGAAAGTCATGAGGTTATTTAGTCTTTTAAGAATAATCACTTTCTATGACAGGTACTAACTTTTCAGAACTATATATAATGCAAAAATGAATCTGTCTCTTCAATTGAATCTGTCTCTTCATCTTCCTTTGTATGATGACCCTGCCAAAAATAAGCCAGTAAATATATAACTATATTACATAACAAATACCTGATAGTGTGTGAAGGCTTATTTCTTGGCTTTTTGGAACATACTCTGACATATTCTTTTTTGTTTGCATTTTCAATGAACTTCGCATATATCCTTTTGTACTTATTCTTGGCATCTCCAAAATATCCTAGGTACTAATGAAAAAAACACCTAAATTACACAGTTGTAAAGCCTATACACAAATATTATTTTGTTGGCTGGACTATCACAGTCATCCTTTGCATTTTCTAAAATATAGCTCTGGCCAGGCTGATTTCACCCTGAATAAAAATGACCCCCGATCATTCCTGACTGCAAGCCAGCCCACACTGGTCACACATTTGGCAGATGCTCATTTAATCAAAGCTACAGAACAGCTATGTAAATATAACTTCTGTCAGTCTTCTGGTAAGTCAGGATATTTGACTGGTACAATAATCAATATAAGAGTCTTTGAACCCATGTGAAATCTTCAGACTAACACTAGTCACTTTGGTTTGTTTTTGTTTTTTTGTACCGGGGATTGAACTCGGGACCTTGCGCTTGCAAGGCAGGCGCTGGAACCACTGAGCTAAATCCCTGGCCCTGTTTTTAGTTTTTTTTGCGACAAGGTCTTGCAATGGAGTTCAGGCTCGCGTTGAACTCACTATGTACCCCTGGCTGGCCTAGAACTCAAGGTGATCCTCCTGCCTCAGCCTCTTGAGTGCTGGAATTAGAGGCTTTGTTTTTAAAAAATGTCAAGCAACAGTACAAAGTCATTTAATTTTGAATGGCAGGGAATTTTTTAAAAATTATTTTTATACATATCTTTAGATCATACTTACCAGAGTATCATACTATGTAGTTCAAAATTTATGTGATTTTTATGTCAGAAATACTCAATATAAAATGCATCTAAATCTAAATCATTCTTTATTTTCCCCAGGATCACCATCAAAATACTGGAAGGCTAATATAAATAAACAAGCATTTTACTCACACTATTTGTAGCTGCAAATTCTCTTTGTCCATCTCGAATTTCAGGAATAAATTTCTGTAATAAAGCTTTCTGTACTTTCCAAATAGCTGGCGGTTCTATTCCTGTTTTTAAGGCCTCCTGTAATTAGCAAAATTAATTACATTTATAGATAGTATCAACAGATATACAGAGTATCTCAGATCTGAAAGAAATCTTAAAGACATTCCTAGCTCAAACTTTTCTTATCTTTAGTTGAATTTCTACAGTAATTTATTTTCCTTGAGGTATTAGGAATCACACGCAGGGCCCCCACATGCTAGTCAGACACTCTAGCACTCAGCCAAGTCTCTAGCCCTCAGCAAACCAGTCTCTGCTTAGATTCTTCCAGAAACAGAGAGCTCACTAACACAAAGAAGCTCATTATCCACTTGCATAGCTAAAACTATTGGAAAGTCCTCTGCTACTAGTATCATCACATTTTATTTTTGTGATTTTATGAGTATGTATATTATTTATGCAATTTTTTGAGTATGTACTTATTGAAAAAGACCAGAAACTAATAGGCAATGCATCAGGAGTTGTTAATTGTGAATGGGAGGAATACAGATAATTTAAATGTTATGTTCTTCCCAATGCCCACTCCTCTATGGCCAAATCTAAACACACACACCCACCTTCACAAACAACACATTCATGCTTGTACACATGCACATACAGGCCAAATCAAGCAAACAAAATCCCAAAGATCTATTAAATGCAGCTAAAACTCAAACTCAAGCTCTCTCTCTCTCTGACAGGGTCTCACTATGTAGTTCAGGCTGCCCTTGAACTCACTGTGGAGCCCAGGCTGGCCTCAAACTCATGGCGATCCTCCTGCCTAAACCTCCTGAGTGTTGGGATTACAGGAGTGTGCCATCACACCTGGTTTTATCTTTATTTATTATTCTGTTCATGGCTCTAATTTTAAATTATAAAATTATACAGTTATACTTTAACATGGTGCTCTGGTTATTTTTCTTTGAACTGTTAAATTATGTAAATATTTTCTTGAAATTCATACTGAGAGCCTTAAAAAAATTAACATTTCAACAGTTCATAACTGTAACTAGTAGTACTGAATGCAACTGATTAGTTAGAAGTACATAAAATCACAATAAAGGTAAAATTACTTTTAGTGATTCCTTTTTCAAAATACCCGACATCTATTACTTTGATCAAACATAATTTAGGAAAGTGAAAAATAGTAACTTTTTGTACTGAGACAGATTCATGCTACTGAAGTCACCATGAAGGCTATCAGAGACAGTCCAACTCAATTATGACGTTTGTAGCTGTAAACATTCATATCACCTTAAAAGTCTCTATGTCTTCTATCTTTATCACAAATTCGTCACGCTCTCTGTATTGGCCTTCTCCTCCGCTCTCTGTGTTTTCCTCATCTGTAAAACCTTCTATGGCAACAGTGTCCTGTCCTTTTGCCAATTGGTCTGAAGGAAGACTATCAAGTTCGATGGGTTTTGGGGGTTCTGTGGCATTTATATTTTCCAGGCTGTTTACTGCAGAGGAAGTAGAGTGGAGAGGTTCTTTCTTAGTTGCACACACAGTGGTGGAAGAAGTCGTAGCAGTACCAGTGGTATTGGCAGATGGGCTAGGAGTTGCCACCTGTAGGGCTTCTGAAACTAAATTAAGTGAATGCAAATCAGTAATACAAATATTTAAACATTTTCATATTTTGAGTTAAATTTGAACAGTTTAAAAAGAAAGACTTGACTACTTTTATAATTTATTGGATGAATCAATCAGAACTGCAAGAAGAAATTTAAGAATAATTGTTAATTTCTAAGACTCTCAGATGTGAAAATTGAATCTGGATGATAAGACTGCAGTGCAAACTTAAATCTACAGTATGTACCTATCCTTCCTCCAACTCCACTTTAAGGAGAACAAAGATATTTTTAGAAGAACTGAGACATGTAAAAGCCATAGAAGATAAGGAAAGGTCACCTAACCAAAACTATAAAGAACTCTTAGAAGATGATAGGCCAAAACACGCCCCCAATACTCTGAAACAGCACTAGAAACTGAAATAAAAAGGATTATAAACTAATCCTATGTAAAGTCATATGACAATGAACTAAATAACTTAGATGAAATGAAAAAATTCCTACAAAGACAAACTAGAAAGAACTCAGGAAGAAATGAAAAATCTAAATAGACTAATATCAAATAAAGAAAATAGAAGTAACTTAAAAGCAGCCTAAAAAGAAAAGCAGAGACCTAAATGATTTTACTGGCGAATTCTACCAACAGTTAAATAATTAACGTCAATTAACATGAGCCCTCAAAAAGGAAGAAAAAGAGAAAAAAAAAAACAGGAAGAAACAAATCCCAAAGAAATTCTATAAGGCTAGTATTTTTCGTGATCATGGTATCTCCCCTGCCAGTTAAGTATAAGGCTAGTATTTTTCTAATATCAAAACCATACAAAAATATTAGAAAACTACATAACAATATTTCTTATGAAATAACACAAAATTCTCCACAAAACATGAACAAATCTGCCAATATATAAAAAGAATTACACAGGGACTTGGCATGTGGCTCAGTGGTAAAGTGTCTGCCTAGTTTCAATTTTCATCATCAAAAGAAAAAAAACATAATTCCAAGTGAGATGGATTTATCCTAGAAATGTAAAATTAGTCCTTTTCATGATAAAAAGAAAAAATACTCAGCCAGGTGTGGTGGCACTTGCCTTTAATCCTAGCACTCACCTGGCTGAAGCAGGAGGATCTTTGTAAATTTGAGGCCAGCCTTGTCTACATAATGAGTTCAAGACCAGCCTGAACTATATAGTGAGACTGTCTCAAAAAAACCAAAACCTAAAATCACACACAAAAAATTCAGCAATTTATAGGATCCCAAGCATTTTCAGGTTTCACATCATAGTTAATGGAGAAAAACTGGATGGTTTTCCCTACGAAGGATGCCTACAATAAAATCACCTGAATTTACCAATGGCATGATCTTGTATACAAAAAAAATCCAGAGGAAACTTCTAAAAGATTGTTGGAACTAATAAATGAGTTCAACAAAATTGAGGGTACAAGACTAATATTTAAAAAATCAAATATATTTCTATACACTTGTAATGAATAATCCATAATGAAATTAGAAACAGAACTTTATTCACAACAGCATGAAAATTAATAAAATATTTAGAAGTAAATTTAAGGAAGTGTAAAGCATACACTGTAAAAACTACAAAACACTGTTCAAAGAAATTTAAAGAGGTCCATAACTAGAAAAATAGGCAATGTTCACAGAAGACTTAATATTGCCAAGAGGCAGTACTCCACAAACTGATCTAAGATTCAACCCAATAAAATTTATAGCTGCATCCCCTAGTTGCACACTGATCCTAAAATTCATATGGAAATGAGACACAGAATAGCTGAAATCACCTTGAAAACAGAAGAAAAAAGTTAGAAGATTCACATTTCCCAATTTCAACTCACTATAAAGCTACTGTAAGTAGCTCATAGTATAGTCGTAGACTAACAGGACAGAAAGTCCTTCTGTAGTTTTCCTTTTTGGAGGGTTTATCATTTTATTAATAATAAAATGATTTTCAACACAAGTATGAAGTGGGGAAAGAATAGTTTTTCCAGCAAATGATGCTGGTTAGCTGTTAGCTACTTATGACAAAATGAAGTTGGAACTGTACTTCACACCATATACTAAATTAACTCAAAGTAAATCATAGACCTCACAGACTTAAATATAAAAGCTAAAATTATAAAATTCTCAGAGGAAACTTAGATGTAAATCTTTCTGATCCTGGGTTAGGGTTATGGTTTTAGATATGCCACCAAAATTGTAAGTGACGAAGGAAAAAATATACTGGATTTCATTAAAAAAGTAGAACTTCTGTGTTATAGCTGATGATTAAGATGAAAAGATAAGCTAGAGAATGGGAAATGATGTTTTAAAATTATATACTTACCTGAGATTCATATCCAGAACATATATAAAACACACACCTTAATAATAAAGACAATTTTTAAAATGAACAAATGATCTTGAATAGATATTTGTCCACAGAAGATATTAAAAATGACCAATAAACTGGGCACAGTAGTGCACACTGTAATTTTAGCTACTCTGGAGCCTAAGGCAGGAAGATTACAAGTTCAAGGCTAGCCTGAGCAACTTAGTCTCTGTCTCAAAAAAAAAAATGAAAAGGGCTGGAGATGCAGCTCAGTGGTTGAACAACCCCTGAGTTCAATTCCTGGTACCAAAGGAGAGAGAGAGAAAAGGGGGAGGGGGGCAGTAAGCATAAGAAAGGGCACTCGATGTTGTTAGTCATTGCATAAATGCAAATTGAATCTACTGGGATGGCTTTACTAATACAATGACATGATTCAGCAGGAATGTAGAGTAATTATAACCCTTACATGTGGGTAATGGGAATGTAACAGTGTAGCTGCTTCAGAAAATTGTCCATTAAATATGGAGGTACTAGATGATTCAGGAATTCCACTTCTGGATGTGTAAAAGAAAAAAAATAAACATCTACTCAAAACCTTGTGCATAGGGCTGGGGATGTAACTCAGCAGTAGAGTGCTTGTGTAGCATGCGTGAGTCCCTGGGTTTGGTTCCTAGCACCACAAAATACAAAAAGTAAAAATCTATTCATGATGTCCATAGCAGAATTACTCAAAATAGCTTAAATAAAAGTTGAAAATAAATCCAGTATCTCTTAACTATGAATGGATACAGAAATAAGGTATAAGTACATTGTTAGGGAATAAAAAGGAATTAAATCTGATAAATGGTACAACATAAGCCCTGAAAACATTATGCTAAATTAAAGAAGTCACATTATGCTAAATTAAAGTCACCTATGATTCCCTGTATATGAAATGTCCAAAACAGGTAAATCTATAGAAAAACAAAGTGGATTAGTTATTGCCAATGGCTGGGTGTGGGTGCAGGGAATGACTGCTACTGGGTACACAGTTTTTTGGCAAAGGATCATAAAAATGTTCCAAAAATTGATTGTGGTTTAGTTGCAACAATTCTATGGAACTACTCAGTACATGTCAAATGGGTAGAAGTTACTGTATGTGAATTACAGTTCAATAAAGCTGTTTAAAAACACATTGAATCATGCCAGTAATCCCAGCACTTGGGAGGCTGAGGAAAGAAAATCAAAAATTCAAGCCCAGCCTGATATTACACAGCAATATCTTATCTCAAAAAAGCAAGCAAACAAACAACAAAAACTCCACTTTGAAGACCAGAGCTGGTGGAAGAATCCTGGGTTGAAGAACAATGTAAAGAGAAAGCAGAATTCCAGTGGTAATTCAGAATAATACACTAAGTCTTCAAACATTTGAGTTTCGAACCTTCACAGATATAAAAGGACCTTTCGTTACAACATTCACAGACGCGAACAAATTGCAGAAGTAGTAGCTCACATGTCTGCTGGACATTGTCACAGTTGTGCTGTGTATGATACAGTATTTATGTCAAAGGCGTATAAGACTCACTTTGTCAGACTAATGAACAAATTCGACTTAACAAATGTTCTCCCAGGTATTGATGAACTAAAATAACAATATATACAATACATAATAACAGTAAAAATAAGAAAACAAATGATCCCTTGCTTATCTTAAACTATAGGCAACAAGGATGTTTGATCATAGGCTAAAATATGTAATCTGTTTCCTTAAAAAACATGAACTCTACCTGCCTAGAGTGAAGGAAGAGCTCAGAGAGAATCAAAGCAGGAGTCAGAAACACCAAAACACACCAAAAAAAAGCAGACTGCTACACGACAAAAGCAAATCCCTCCTCTTTGTTTCCAGCCAGCTCTCCTGTTCTTGTACAGAATTAAAGCAGTCCTCATACATGCCAATCCAGGGAAAAGGCCAACTGGGAAAAAAATGAGTAATCATGTCAGTAGAATTTTATCCTAATGTAAAAATACTGGAGCTACATACTAATACTTTTCTGTCACAAAAATACATATATAAATGGAAACTGATTTCACGACAGGATTCTAAATATTAGGTATTTCCAAGTATTGATCTAAATTAACATCTTTTCAAATTTTAATGTGAAAGAATGCTTTCTGTTAGATATAGTACATAAAATTATTTGTATATGAATATCCATGGGTAAATGTTACAATAGGTTTTGCAATCAATTTTATTTCTATTATTTTATTTCTAGTCTTCATTTTTATTGATAAAAGAATTGAGAAACTTCATATAGATGGGTGAATAAAGGAATAAAAGTGATTTTGTTATAGTAATGTCTCTGAATTTTGCAAATACTGTAATCTGAGTTACATTGCAAAACAAATCATATAGCTATCTATAAACAAAAACAGATACTGCCAGCTGCAGACCCAAGAAAAAGCTGTTAAAAAAATTATAAAGCACATGCACTAGTCAGATGCAAAACAGAGAAGCTATGACCCCAAAGAGAAGATATAAGGTGAATGCTAAAGTGCTAAATATGTAGTAAATTTAGACAAGAGCTGAGTATTTAAACACTACTAATGACATCTTGTTGAGTATTAGAAAAAGCAAGATAGAATTAAAGTATGCAGTAACAGTAACATTTAAGTTAGGACGGTATTAAATGGAGTTACAGTATTTGAAATTTC